ACGAAGCGCTGACACCACATTTCAACATGAGGGTTTACCTCGGCCAAGTTCACAGGCAGATATGAGAGTCAGGGGTACATCTTTTCAATCTGACTCTTATCAGGGCACGGCTGATTCCAGACAGCAAAAAAAATATATACACATATGTGCAAAAACCACTGGTTCAGATAACGGCCAATCCATGGCTTTTGGGTCTCTGTCCTTGGGTCAGGGCCAGCCCAACCGTGCGGAAATCAGTTACTCGAGTGGTTGAGGAGTCAGTTTGAAAGCAGAGGGTTGTCTCGGGGTCCGCGATGGATTAGATACCTGGATGGATGTCATGCTCTGCTACGGGAACGTTCCCAATCAGCCCCGCTGCCCCTTTCCAGGACCCGGTGTTACAATCCTTCCCATTTTCCGGAGCTCAAAACTGAGGCTCAGAGAGTTTCGGTTACTTGCCTCGGGACCACATAATGTTCCTGATGGGCACACGGGCCTCGGCTCCTACCCTGGGAGCCCCCACCGGCCTGGTGCCCAGTTCACACCCAACAGCCCAGGACATGAAGAAACGGATGAATGGTCTGCTGCATTACCCAGATCAAGGGGAAGGTGAGGGACAAGTGAAGAAGTTTCCAGAAGGCCAGGGCAGAGGTGAAAGGCAGTATGAAGATCCTTCCTTGTTTGCAGCCTTGGCCCGAGCCGGATGGGAGAAGGTGCGGTAACTTCCCTTAGGGACCCAACTCGGCCTCAGCCGTGCCTCGGGCTGTTGGTGTTTGGGGAACTTTGGAAGGAAGATTTATTTCACTCCAGGAGTAGAGGCGAAGGGAAGAATGATGGAGGCCTCATCCAATCCCTCCCCCGCCCGCCCCCCCCAGCCAAGCTCCGCCCTCCTGCTGTCTGGGACGTGGGAGGGGGCAGCTTTCCTGGTGGTGCCCAGTCCTCTTTTCTTACCCCCCCGAGTGATGAGGTTGTTTGACTCATCCATTGTTTTGATTTAATAAACATGTATAGATAGATATACTGTGTGGGGGGCTAACACCGAAGGCGGGAGAGATCTATAGATCGGGGGGCCCTCTCCTTGAAGAGCTCACTATCCGGTAGGGAACAAAGGAAGGCAGGGAGACTGAAGATTACCACATATGGCATCAAATAATTTTCTAGAGTTAGAGATGGAGGGAAAGCAGAACACAGAGTCATTCCATGAAATATACACGAGTGCATCACCAAGGAAGGACTTAACATTCTACCCAAAGGGATGTTCGGTGTCGGGCACTGGGCTTTGCCGTAGAACGGGGCCCGTAACATCGTCATCCATCCACAGCTATTTTTTTATTTATTTAAAAAATTATTCTGGGGCGCCTGGGTGGCTCAGTTGGTTAAACCATCAACTTTGGCTCGGTTCGTGATCTCACGGCTCACGAGTTTGAGCCCCACGTTGGGCTCTGTGCTGACAGCTCAGAGCCTGGAGCCTGCTTGGGATTCTGTCTGTCTCTCTCAAAAATAAATAAACACTTAAAAAATTTTTTTTGAAGTTTATTTATTTATTTTGAGAGAGAGAGAGGGAGAGAAAGTGCAAGCAGGAAAGGGGCAGAGAGAGAGGGAGAGACACAGAATCCCAAGCAGGCTCTGTGCAGAGCTCAAACTCATGAACCGGGAGATCATGACCTGAGCTGAGATCACGGGTCAGACACTTAACCGACTGAGCCACCCAGGCGCCCTCGTTTTTTCAAACATTTTTTTAAAGGCTCTGTGCGGAGCTCAAACTCATGAACCGGGAGATCATGACCTGAGCTGAGATCATGGGTCAGACACTTAACCAACTGAGCCACCCAGGCGCCCTCGTTTTTTCAAACATTTTTTTAAAGTTTGTTTATTTACTTATTTAGAGTGAGAGAGCGGGGGAAAAGGAAGAGAGAGAAGGACAGAGAGAGAGAATCCCAAGCAGGATCCTCACTGTCAGCGCAGAGCGTGATGTGGGGCTCGAACCCATGAACCAAGAGATCTTGACCTGAGCCGAAATCAAGAGTCGGAAGCTTAACCAACTGAGCCACCCAGGCGTCCCAAGGCACCCGTGTTTTTTAAAAACCACATTTATGGACTTATAGTCTGTATGCAGTAAAGTGCATATATTTGACACTTTATACGTTGGTCTGTTTTCACTTGTGAAGTCAGCCCCTCAATCAAGGCGGTGAACAGATCCATCACGTCCCAAAGTATCTTCGTGCCGTTTTGTCTTCCCTGTCTCCTGCCCCTCCCTACCGCCCTCCATATTCCGGCAGCCAACAATCAGCTTTCTGTTACAGACTTGCCAGTGTTCTAGAATTTTCTACAAATGGAATTATACAGTGGGTACTCTGCCCTGTCTGGCTTCTTTCACTCGGTATGATCCTGTTGAGAGGCATCTGTGCTGTGTGTTTATCAATAATTTATTTCTTTTCGTTGATGGGCGATATTCCACTGCATAGATAGACTGCGATCTCTTTATCCATTCGCGTGTTGAAGGGTATTTGGACTGTCTCTCATTTTGTGGTCAATTCAGATAAAGCTGCTATGCACATTTGTGTACAAATCTTCATACGGACATCTGCTTTCGTTTGTCTTGGGCCAACACCTACGAGTGGAATGGTGTATGTTTAGCTTTTTAAGAAACTGTCAAACTGTTTTCCAAAGTGGTCAGCTCACTGATGTTCCCACTGGCGGCGCGCGAGAGCTGACCCCCGCCACGTCCTCGCCAAGTACGCTTTTAAAATTGTGTTTCACTGTGGTTCAATTCACGTTTCCCTGTGGACTGCTGATGTCGAGAATCTTTTCAATGTGTCTTCGCCACTTGCGTGACTCCTTGGATGAGGTGTCAGCCCAGATTTTCGCGGGTTTTTATGTTCTCTGATTATCGAGTTGTGAGAGTTCTTTATGTATTCTAGATACAAGTCTTTTTTTTTTTAATTTTTTTTTTAACATTTATTTATTTTTGGGACAGAGAGAGACAGAGCAGGAATGGGGGAGGGGCAGAGAGAGAGGGAGACACAGAATCGGAAGCAGGCTCCAAGCTCCGAGCCATCAGCCCAGAGCCTGACACGGGGCTCGAACTCACGAACCGCGAGATCATGACCTGAGCTGAAGTCGGATGCTTAACCGACTGAGCCACCCAGGCGCCCCTAGATACAAGTCTTTAATCAAATATACACTGTGTGGGGAGCCTGGGTGGCTCAGTCAGTTAAGCGTCCATGACTCTTGATTTCAGCTCAGGTTGTGATCTCACGGTTTGTGAGCTCAGGCCCTACATGGGACTCTGCACTGTCATCCGGAGTCTGCTTGGGATTCTCTCTTGCTCTCTCTTTGCCCCGCCCCTGCTCCTGCACAGGCTCTCCCTCTCTCTCTCTCTCCCTCTCTCTCAAAATAAATAAATAAACATTTAAAAATATATACACACTTTACCTACATTTTATTTCAGTGTGTACCTTGTCTTTTCATCTTTTTAAGAAGAGCATTTAATTTTAATGTAGCCCAATTTGTGAATTTTATTTATTTTGCGGATCATGCTTTTGGTGTCATGTCTAACAAGTGTTCGCTCAACTGAAGGTCCAAAAGATTTTTTCTTATGTTTCCTTCTAAAAGTTTTGTGGTTAGGTTTTACACTTAGATGTATGAGTCTTTTCTTTTAAGGTGAGAGAGAGAGAGAGACAGAGAGAGATTGAGATTCTTAAGCAGGCCCCATGCCCAGCACAGAGCCAACACAGGACTTGGTCCCGTGACTCTGGGATCATGACCTGAGCCGAAATCGAGTCAGACGCTTAACCAACTGAGCCACGCAGGCACCCCGGTTTGTGAGTCATTTTGAGTTAATTTTTGTATATGGTACATGATGTGGATTGAAGTTCTTTTTTTTTTTTTTATATGAATATCCAGTTGTTCCTTCGTTATTTGTCAAAAGAAGTCTTTCCCCACTCTTCTGCACCGTGTCAAAAATCACTTGTCTCCATACGTACTGGTCTATTTCTGGACTCTATTCCGTCATGATCGTCTATTTGTCTAACTTTATGCCAATACCGTTATGCCTTGGTAGTTATAGCTTTAAAATAAGTCCTGGGGTGCCTGGGGGGCTCAGTCAGTTGAGCATCCGACTTCGGCTCAGGTGACGATCTCACGGTTCGCGGGTTTCAACCCCGCGTCGGGCTCTGTGCCGACAGCTCAGAGCCTGGAGCCTGCTTCGGATTCTGTGTCTCCCTCTCTCTCTGCCCCTGCCCCACTCACTCTCTGTCTCTCTCTAAAAAATAAAATAAAAAACTTAAACAAAAATGTACAATAAGTCCTGAACTCAGAGAGTGGTGGTCCTTTTTTCAAAGCTCTTCCCATGATTCCAGATCCTTTGTATTTCCCTGTGAAGCTTACAATCAGCTTGTCAGTGTCTACAAAAGTAAAAACTTTCTGGGACATCGATCGGAATTGCGGAGACTGGACATCTGAACAGTAGCGAGTTTTCCAGTTTGTGCACGCCGAGGATCTTCTGTCCTTGTACCTAGGCCTTCAAATTCCATCAGTAGTGTTCGGAAGTTTCCATGGTATCTATCGTCTTACACACTTTCTGTCATGTCCATTCCTATGTAGTTCATAGTTTGCGATGCTATTAGAAATTATTATTCTTTATTTTATTATTATTTTTTAATGTCTATTTTTGAGAGAGAGAGAGAGAGAGAGAGCGTGAGCAGAGGCGGGACAGAGAGAGAGGGAGACCCAGAATCCGAATCAGGCTCCAGGCTCCGAGCCGTCAGCACAGAGCCCGATGCGGGGCTCGAACCCACCAACCGTGAGATCGTGACCTGAGCCGAAGTCGGAAGCTCAACCGACCGAGCCACCCAGGCGCCCCAGAAATTTTTTCTTAATGCCCGCCCCTGACCAGCTGCTGGCTGCCTTCTGAGCAAAAATTCTTCAGCCTAATTGTCCATTACAGAAGCCGGAATGCCTCCGTTCTGGGAAAGGCCGGTGATGTCTTTTCATGAGGTGACAGTGAGATTTCCCAGGGACTAGCGAGCGAAATTTCCACGTTCACCGTATGCATTGCTGCGCCTTCCAGTTGCTTTCGCCGTGGCATCTGACATGGGTCTTTGCATCTCCTAGAAGAGCCAGAAAGTCCACAGAATGGGTCGCCCGGGAACGGGCAATTCCCCTTTTTCGCCACTAGGGAACCGAATTGGGGTCAAGGATAGGCCTTAGTGACTGCCCAGATCCCGACTCAATACCTGAATAAAGTCTGGGCCCTTTTTATTTAGCTCCATTGTGGGTGGGAGACTGACTAGGCTCAATCCATTCATGGCATATTTGGAAGAAAAAAAAAAATTACGAAGGACCCAAAGTGTCTGATTCCCAGAAATTCTTAGCTGAAGGATCTCTTGGTGTCAGATTTAACGTGAGCGTCTTCCTGGCGGAGCCAACAGACTGCTCTGTTCACTTGAACAGTATCGTTCCGTAAACAAGCAAGAGATGTATTTGCGACAAACAGAGTCAAAATTTCCATCAAAATGGTAGCTAATAGGAATAGAAGGACTGATTCAGGCTTTCAATTTTTAAATCTCCCCAGCCTGGCAGCTGTGTTTTCATTCTTTCTACTAAATGCTGTCGTTTAGGATTTAGGGCATTATGGAAGAAAAAAAAAAAA